GGGCTGGGCTGACAGCGCTGCCCCATCCCCAGACTGCGTGGAGGTGATGGCGTGCTCGGACAACACGGTGCGCGCCGGGCTCACGCCCAAGTTCATCGATGTGCTCACCTTGTGTGAGATGCTCAACTACACACCAGCACCCAGCAGCTCCAAGATCCTCCCGGCAGCACAGAGCCAGCTCGATCCCCACGTCTACCTCTATGACCCACCCGTGCCAGACTTCACCATCATGAGGATAGAGGTGAGAGGTGACAGCTCCGTGCTGGGGACACCGGGTGGGACACACCAGCACTGGCTGGGGCTCGCTCACCTTTGTTATCAGTGTCTTGGCAGGATGGGAGTGATTTTGGGTGTAATGGGGTACTGGTCTCTTTATCCCTCCCTGGAGCTTGTTCACCTTCTCCAGCAGCTCTGGGCAGAGGGAGAACCAGGAAGAGGTCCCTGGGCTTGGGCTGCTGCAGGCCCAGCAAAGGGGTGGGAGTGGGGACAACCCCCTTCCAGCTCTGCAGAGAGGATCAGAGCTGAGGGACACCCCAGCACAGTGACATTTCCCTTGGCAGATCCCTGCCTCCATCAAGCTGTACCTCATCTCTGCCATGGACTCTGCCAGCATCCTGCTGGTGATCCAAGGGACAGCCGTGGGCACCTCCACAGCAGCAGCCTCAGAGATGTCCCTGCGCCGTGGCTCTGTGCTCTTCGTGTCGGCCAACGAGAGCATCTCCCTGCACCTCTCCTCACCCGAGGGGATGCTGCTCTTCCGAGCCTGCTGCCTCCTCTGAGCAGCACCTGGGACACTTCCACCACGACACTCCATGTTTGGGTAGCTAGAAACTGCTGTGGGCAAAATCTTCTCGCTTGAAAGGTCTCCCTCCACCTGTTAAACCCCCAAAGCAGCCCTGAGGTGTAGAAAGAGCAGTTCTGTGGATCAGCTTGCAGGTGGTGCAGACCACAGGCTTTCTGCTGCTGCTGGTGGGCTCTTCCCAAGCCTGGCCAGTGTCCCCCTTCCCTGGCTGTAAAAGGGGGCTGCCTGGGGGATGATGGAGCTGGAGAGCCTCTGCTGCTGTGAATAAAGAAGTGACTTTGTCCCTGGCGAAGGGCAGCGTGGTGCAGGGAGCAGGAGGATGGAGGGGGACAGAGAGGCTGGGAGCAGCTCCAGCATCCCCCCAACGCTGGCTGTGATTCCCCCCCTTGCTCCTCAGACACAGGAAAAGAGTAAAATGTGATGAGAGAACACAGGAGTCCCCCTCACAGCACCAGCAGCCCTTCTGAGTAATGAGATCCAGTTTATTAAGTGCTCCCTTTTACAAGTAAGATACAAAAACAAACAAACATGCCCCCCACCCAACCAATCCATGTCTCTTGACATGAAATATTTAAATAAGGTTTCTGTATAAGAAGCTGATTGTCCTCTATGTCATAGAGCAGGACCATGGTTTAAGGCAGCGTTTATGGTTTGCAGCAGGGAGGATCTCCAGCCCCCCAAATCCAAGCCCTGTGCTGAGCTGGGATGGGGGGCCTGGGCTGTGCCTCACCTGCATCAAAGCAGCGTTGAGGAGAATGGGAATAAGCCATTAGCTCCAACCCCAGAAACTCCCAAATCCTTCCCTTTATACCCCCGTGGAGGTGCCAGGCCCTGCCTGTCCTCTCTTCCCACCCCAGCCAAGTGCCAGGTAACATGCAGGTCACCAAAATGTCACTGTGCCACCTCCCCCTGGTATTGCTGAGAGTGAGGAGAAGTCTTTTGGAGTCAGCTGGTCTCTGCCACGAGCAGCATCGTTCAGTCCTCGTGCCACCGTCCTGGCGTGGGACCCGGACACCCACCAGCCATCCCACGGGACAAAGAAAGTGCTGGATTTTGACCTGTTCTTGTGCAGCTACTGGATCACACAGGAGAGATTTTCTCCAAAACAGCAGGGGCAAGAAGAGGAGGCAGCAGGTTTTGGGGGGATGAGATCCAGGTCTTCATCATCAGGGACCTCGTCGAGGTGGTACCCGTCCTGCAGCAGCTGCCGGCTCAGGTCCTGGGTCACCTGCTGCAGGGGACAAAGCAGAGCTCTGCAGGATGCACACACATCCACGCCCTGGGGGTGATGCTTCCAGCCCCAGCCAGAGCCTCGAGGGGTCAGGGGGGACGAGGGAGCCCCTGGGGACCCCACAGTGTCACAGTCAGACCCCGCACTTGCCTCAGCGGAGGAGTATCCCGAGGAACACCTGGATCCCGGCTCCCCGTCACTGAGGGGAAAAGAAACAGAGCTGGCCAGGAAATGGGGGCTGTAGGGTGCAGATAAGGGGAATTTGGGGGAAAAAAAGAGCTGGCAGTGCCACCCCAATGGGTATTTGAAATGTGGGACAGCAGGAGTGTTTCGCTGCCCTGAGGTGCCCAGTGCTATCAGGGTTGCTCTACAAGTGACAAGGAAAATCCACCCCCCCCCCCCAAAAGCCATCTGGGAGTACCCCCACCCTCAAAATCATGGGATATTTACCCAAAATCCTGGGCTATTCACCTGTCTGAGTCGAGGGAGACCAGGTTTTCATCAGCTGTCTGGCTGAGTGCCGTGTAGCCCTTGTTGAACTTCACAGACCTGGCAGGAAACGCAGGAGAGAGACCAGCACAGATGTTTTATGTGCAAACACATCCATGGAGCTGACAGGCTGAGGAACCAGGGCAGGAATCCCACTCCTTCCCACCACCAGCTAAACCCCAGGATACCCAAATAAATCCATACCACCAAATCATCCCCAAAATAGAGAAGCGAAAAGCAGTGTATTTTATTATACTGGGTGTTCCTGGCCAAACAGAGCCAGCAGAACAAGGTCCCAAACTCTTCTCTAAAATCCTCTGAGTTTCCCAGTGTCCCCAAGAAAAGGCATTTTGAGAAGAGGAGGAGGGGATCAGACCTTTTAGGAGTTGGTTTCAGGGCAGTGGGTGCCCCCAGCAGCCCCTGCCTTCGCAGCGCTGCCTTTGCCAGCTCCCGCTGCCTCTCTGCAAGCCAAGCACAGGGACAGAGACAAAAATCCCCAAGTGCTCCCAAAGGGGTTCTTCTTCTGGGGAATAGGTGAGGAGGATGGTGCAGGTGGGCTTTTATAAAGGTTTTATCCCACCAAGGAATTAAAGGGCTTTTGGTAACCCCAGTTCTGGGAGAGAGGTGGGAATGACACCCAAAATCCCAGCAGAGTGCACCAAGCATCACTTACTCAGCTTGGCCTGGATGGAGGGAGGTTTGCTCATGATGTATGGACCTCTTTTCTCCACCACATCTGTCCCTTTGTTCAGCCTCTTCTTTTCAGCCCAAATCAGCTAAAAAAAGAATGGAAGAAGCATTTAGCACCTCTCCACGGGGGTGAGGTAAAGCAGAGTCATCTCAGAGCATCTGATCCCTCCTGGGAGCTCAAGGTCAGCAGGGAGATCTGTCCCCAGGGAAATCTGTCCCCAGGGACAGCTCCTCCTCCCCAGCCCAGGAGGAGGGAGAGGAAAAGGAATAAGCAGATCTGAGAGCAGATGAGAGGATTATTTGGGAATGGTGATGCTAATTAAAAGCACAGGTAGTCACCATCAGTTCCTATGCAAGCCTGGCTGCAGTGATACCTGGGAAAAGGTAGTGGGGGAGATTTCCTGAGAGGTTAATAAAATAGAAATGTAAGGATTGTGTATTTTAATTTGGGGTTTCCAAGCTTCTCCTTTTATCCAATTATTGTCAAGGAGAACCAATGCTCCTAAGGGCAAGGGGGAGGATAAAACCTCCACAAACACAAGAAGTAAAGAATAAAATAGAGGGAAAATCAGAGAGAGCTGGCACAGGAGGGACATAGAATTAAAGGAACAGGGCAGAGGACTGGGGATGGTGATTGGACAGCACGGCCAGGATTAGCCTCAGTGTCTTAAGCTGGAATTAGCAGGACAGAGCTTTATGGTGGGAATGACCAGGCAGGCAGTGCCCCCCCAGATCCCTCTGGTTGTGCCATACTCCTTCCTAGCCAGCTGATGCTGTGCTGATACACCTCTGTGTGTGCACACATATATATATATTTATTTGTATATTTATATTTATACACTGCATACAGTACTGTGCCTCCCTGTCTGCAACTCTGAAAGATGAACTGTCCCACTGTATTGTTCCTATACTGCCCCACACACCTACCCCACACTGCCCCATGGACACCCCCAGCCCCATAACCCCTGTGCACACACCCCACACTGCCCCATGGACACCCCCAGCCCCATAACCCCTGTGCACACACCCCACACTGCCCTACAAATAACCCCAGCCCCATAACCCCTGTGCACACACCCCACACTGCCCTACAGACACCCCCAGCCCCATAACCTCTGTGCACACACCCCACATTGCCCTACAGGTACCCCCAGCCCCACAACCCCTGTGCACACACCCCACACTGCCCTACAAATAACCCCAGCCCCATAACCCCTGTGCACACACCCCACAGTGCCCTACAGGTACCCCCAGCCCCATAACCCCTGTGCACACACCCCACACTGCCCTACAAATAACCCCAGCCCCATAACCCCTGTGCACACACTCCACACTGCCCCATGGACATACCCCAGCCCCATAACCCCTGTGCACATACTCCACACTGCCCCATGGACATACCCCAGCCTTCCACCACCCCTGTTCACGTACCCCACACTGCACCACGCTCTCCTCNCCCAGCCCGGGCACCCCCAGATGGCCGTGTGATGGTTGCAGATCGTCCCCACAGAGTGTCCCCTGCCAAGGCCGTGGTGCTCTCCCTCCCTGCCATCCTGTCACCCTGCCCCGCGGGCTCCGTGCGTGTCCGGGAGGATTTCCGGGGCTTCTTTCGGTGCCCCGCTAACACCTGCCTTCCCTCCCGCAGTGTTCCCCCTGTCCTGCGCGGTGCAGAACTATTCCTGGGGGAAGGTGGGCCTGGAGAGCGAGGTGGCCAAGCTGGTGGCCAGCGGTGACCCCCTGGTCCAGATCCAGCCTGACCTGCCCTACGCTGAGGTGAGTGTGTCTCTGTCCATTCTGTCCGTGTGTCAGTCCCATCCGCGTGTCCATCCCACCCCGCGGCCGTGGTGGCTCTCTCCATCCTGTGTCCTAGCGGGACACGGTGCTGCCCCTCGGCTGTCCCGTGTCCCCCTGGCTTGGAGGGAAGCCCGGCATGACTCAGCCCCCGAGGGAGCAGCCAGGGATCACCTCCCTGGAAAAGCCCAAGTCATCCGTGCTGCCTGCCCGGCTCGGGGTGCCAGGTGTGTGTGTTGGTGTCTGGCAGCTGTGGATGGGCACACACCCCCGGGGCGATGCCCTCATCCGGGATAACCGCATCCCCCAAAAGACCCTGGGCCAGTGGATCGCCGACAACCCCGCCTGCCTGGGGGCCAAGGTGAAGGACGCCTTCCAGGGCCACCTGCCCTTCCTGTTCAAGGTGCTGTCGGTCAACACCGCCCTGTCTGTCCAGGCACACCCCAACAAGGTAGGGAGAGCGTGGTGTGGGCAGCCCAGGTGGATCCCCGTGTCCTGGGGACTCAGGCAGCTCCTGTCCCCTCTCTGCAGGAGCTGGCAGCGAAGCTCCATGCCCAGTTCCCTGAGCACTATCCCGATGCCAACCACAAGCCCGAAATGGCCATCGCCCTCACCCCCTTCGAGGGCATGTGTGGCTTCCGGCCCGTGGAGGAGATTGTCTCCTTCCTCCAGAGTAAGGCTGGAGGAGGGGGCATGGTCAGACCCCAGAGTGGGGATGGTGGCCGTGGGGTGGGGATGGTGGCCATGCTCCCTTTGGGATGGGCTGTGGCATGGGGATGGTGGCACTGCTCCGTTCAGATGGGGTCCGGGATGGGGATG